GGGGGGGGGGGGGGTAGGTCCTCACTGTCATGAAAAAACCCGAGGCCTAGAGAAGTTAACTTGCCCAGGATCGCACAGCCGGCAAGTGCGTGGGAAGAGAGGGTCTCTCTGTGTGCCGGGACACTCGGTGCCTCGGGGCAAGCAGACCAGTACACTTGGTGATGGCGAAGGAAAACGCGAAAGAGGCAGGGGAGGGCACCGTCCGGGCCTGGGCTGCTGAGATGCGAGCGGGGCTTGCAGGCGAAGGCTCTGGTTTCTTCAGCCTGTGCGCGGACCCGGTGGAGCTTTTCCGATAGGAAGGAGGCTTGGACACGGAGAGGCGGGCCCCGGCCGGCGTGTTTGAGGAGTCCGTTTGCCTGGAAAAGGCGGTTTCGGTAGGGAGGCAAGGGGAGAAGAGGCCGCAGGGAGAGTTGGAAGGGGTGTGAGGGCCTGGACTGCACCATCCCGGTGGGGAGCCACTGAAGGCTTTGGCTGTGCTCTTCGCATCGGCTCCCAGGCGGAGAGTTTCCGCTGCCCTATCAGGAGCCTTGAGGCCAGCCCCATGTCGTCCGCTCACCCCTCAGTGAGGAGAGGGCCTTGAGCAGTGGCCTCCTCCCACCAAATAGTGTGGAAGCCTTCCAGGAGGCTCCCTGGGCCCCCGTTAAAATGTCAGAAAACTGGGCGGTGCCTTTATTTATAAGGTCAGTGTTTATGCAAAGGCCCTTTTCTTGCAACACGAAGATAATGATAATGGCAGTCGGATGCTCTTGGAGAAGGTTAAGTAGGATTTTAGGGAATACTGAGCTGGGCCATAAAGTGAAGACACTTGTTAGCGGTTGGGGCCCTATGTCAGCGACTGGTCACCAGAGGAAGACCCAGGGGAAGCGAAGAAACGTGGCCCCGCACCCAGGGGCGCCTGGCACTCAGAGGCAGGGCTGAGCCAGCCCAAGTTGCCAGGCCCGTGTGGTCCCCACAGCCTCAGGGCAGAACCACCTATCTCTTGAGCAAGAGACCCGCCCACATCCAGTTGTTTCTCTGCCAGTCCAGCTCCTCCCCATCCTTTGAGATCAGTCTTCCTTCTTCAGGTCAGAGGTCATTGGTCCAGCAGCCTTCCAGACAACCCTAGGATCCTGGATGTTCTGTTCTCGACAGTTTTTCCAACCTGTTTTCAAACTGTCTTGTCACTGTTTTCTGAGGTGTCCACCCATGTCCTAGTTCTCAGCAACTGTCTAAATGAATCCTCACTGGTTCCTATGAGTCACTTTTTAACTTTGCAGATAGTCACCAGACATTTGGTTAGGAATGATTTTCAGAGTGTTGTAAGGTATCACTGATCCTCAGACACTGCCAGAAGGGATAAATATCAGGTCTTCCTCCCTGACCCATGGGTCCTACCTTCAGGTGTGTGTGTGTGTGTGTGTGTGTGTGTGTGTGTGTCCAGCGTCACTGGGGAGTCTCCGTGTCATTATGATGGTTGCAGCACATATAAAGTCTAACCTGATGGTGAATGTTTTACCTTCCTCACCTGTCTGTAAGGTGTGTCACTGATCCTGGGGCAGCACCAAGAATATCTGAAACTGATTCTCCCCTTGGGAGGGGTGGAACACTGAGAGGGAAAAAGTCAGTCTCACCAGGGCAGGGCACTCGTGTTGGATCGGAGTCTTAACTCTTGGCTGGGGGTGGAGGGGGGAGATTTGCAGTCATGATGATTTTTAGTTTGAGGGGGGTAGTGATTGGGAAAGGGGCAAAATCAGATTGTCCTAGGGTGGAGAGGAATTGGTCACTGGATTTCTGTGTTTATTAAAGAGACACGAGATGCTTTTTTAAAAGAGCAGTTGAGCAATGCTCGTGTTTGTGTCGTTTCAGTGAACCAGCTGTTTTTTTTTTTTGCTAGGTCATCGTCAATAGACAGATCCTGTGCGGTTATGATGGGAGGTGCTGGCTGGGCATTAGTAAACCTGCAGTTTACTATTTCTCCACTAAAACACAGCAGTAGCTCGCAGTCACTATTTATCTAGCACAGTTGCACCGCGCGCCTTCCGTGGGCCCCTCAGTGTGCTGTGAGCAGACACAGCAGTGCCTTCAGAGGCGGAGGCGGGAGGTAACCGCAGGGCGCTGAGTGCCGTGACCGGGGTCTCCACAGGTGGGCTGCAGAGACCTGGAGCGTACCCCCCCCCCGGCGGAGGTCCGGCCTGGACACCCCCACATCCCGCCATGCGCACTACTACCCCTTCCCAGCCCAGCTCCCTGACACCTCGGGGGGAGGTTGCTCACGGAACACAGCAGGTAGAATGATTGATGCTGGTCTCCTCTCTGTTTCTGAAAGATTTCTCCCTGGACAATGGCGGCCACGATTCAGGCCATGGAGAGGAAGATCGAATCGCAGGCCGCCCGCTTGCTTTCCCTAGAAGGCCGGACGGGCATGGCCGAGAAGAAGCTGGCCGACTGTGAGAAGACGGCCGTGGAGTTCGGGAACCAGCTGGAGGGCAAGTGGGCCGTGCTGGGGACCCTGCTGCAGGAGTACGGGCTGCTGCAGAGGCGGCTGGAGAACGTGGAGAACCTGCTGAGGAACAGGAACTTCTGGATCCTGCGGCTGCCCCCCGGCAGCAAGGGCGAGGCCCCCAAGGTAAGCCCTGGGCACCGGGGGTGGGACAGCCCGCAGCCCCTGCCGTCGGCATGCGGGTGAGCCTGCATGACCCTGTGGTTCCAGGTGCCCTTTGATGACGTGGCCGTGTATTTCTCTGAGCAGGAGTGGGGCAAGCTGGACGAGTGGCAGAAAGAGCTGTACAAGCACGTGATGAGGGGCAACTATGAGACGCTGGTCTCCCTGGGTAAGGCATGCGATTCATTTCTTGGTTAAATGTGATTTAAGGAGGTCTTAGGGCTTCCCTGGTAGCGCAGCTGGTAAAGAATCCGCCTGCAATGCAGGAGACCCCAGTTTGATTCATGGGTGGGGAAGATGCCCTAGAGAAGGGCTAGGCTACCCACTCCGGTATTCCTGGGCTTCCTGGACAGTAAAGAATCCACCTGCAATGCGGGAGACCTGGCTTTTATCCCTGGGTCAGAAAGATCCCCTGGAGGAGGGCACGGCCACCCACTCCGGTATTCTTGCCTGGAGAATCCCCATGGGCAGAGGAGCCTGGCGGGCTACAGTCCATGGGGTCGCAAAGAGCCGGACATGACTGAGCGACTAAGCACGGGCAGCACAGGGAGATCTCACCCTCTTTCTTCCTGCTGGTGGTTTTTTATCACAAGGAACGTGAATCACTGGGACCCTCGACCATGGACAGTTATCTCCCTCCTCTTACTGAAGTCGGGCCCGGGGTGACTGAGTCAAAGGCTGTCGTTTGCCTGGTGAAGTTCACGGGTTGCCAAACCGAGAGGCATGGCAGCCCCTCTCCTAACCAGGCCCAGAGCACAGCCATTTCTGTCTCTTGCTGAGACCTGGAGTGGAGAAGGCCCCTCCAACTCTCAGATCTTTTACGATCAGTCCCTGTCTGAGGAGGCTTTTGCTCTCGCTGTCTTTTACTGAGACGTGAGGCCTTGACCAAGAAGCAGACGGGCAGACCAGACTTCTCATAGCCAGTGCTACCCTTGTACCTGGAGGCTTCCCCGACCCTGGGGCTGCCGCCGCTACCCTCACGCAATACCCCCCAAGAAGGCCTGGACTGTTTCTTCTGGACTTAATACCTCTTCGGATGGTGTCTGTGTGACCGCAGGCCTGAAGGCAACAAGGCGTGCTCGTGAGGTGGGAGCAGGAACAGGGTGAGGTTATATTCCGGTTTTCAGGAAGGCACTGCTTCTTAGGGGCTTCCCTGGTGGCTCCGTGGTAGAGAACCCACCTGCCAATGTAGGAGATGCAGGTTTGATCCCTGGGTCAGGAAGATCCCCTAGAGAAAGAAGTGGCAACCCACTCCAGTCTTCTTGCCTGGAGAATCCGATGGACAGAGGAGCCTGGAGGGCTACAGTCCACGGGGTTGCAGAGTCAGACGGCTTAGCAACTAAACAACAACTGTTTCTTAACCCGGAGACTCTATATCACCATGTCTTATGCTCAGCACCGTGTCTTGGGCCAGATGAGGCTTTGTTTTGGGGACCTTCCTGGGCCTTGTAAGATGGCCATCAGCCTCTTGCCAGCAGATGCCAGCGGCGCCTCTGCCCCGTCCCAGTCTCGGAAAAAAAAAAACATCTCCGACTTTGACCAGTTTCCCCTGGGAGACAGACTCACCTGTGCTTGAGAGCCGCCGCCCTATACCAATCAAGAGGTGTGGTTTCTAGGCCACCTTGGTTTCCCGGGCTGCCTGTCCCCACCTCTTGAGTGGAACGTGGCCAAAGCTAACCCTTCTGTCCTTCCTCAGACTATGCCATCTCCAAGCCCGAGGTCCTCTCCCAGATCGAACAAGGGAAGGAGCCGTGCAGCTGGCGTCGCACTGGCCCCAAGGTTCCAGATGTTCCCGTGGACCCGAGTCCAGGTGAGGGGTGGGGATGGCCGGGGAGACAGCAGGGGGTCGGATGGACCCAGGGGAGGACACAGCCAGGGCAGGCATGACCTTCTTTCCAGGAAGAGCCGAGAAGAAACAGCAAAGCTTTAAACCCGAGTTTTCTTATGACCTTTAGCACGTTCAGCTTCCCAGCAAGGAAACAGGGAGCGAACCTAGTTTTTAGGAAAGAGATGGTGCACATGGCTTGGAATCAGGAAGAGGGAGCAGGACGCAGATAGGAAGTTAGAAGGTCATGAAGACAGGATTTAGTTCATTCATAGCTTTTCAAAGAGTCAGCCTTGCCTCCACCTGAGAACCAGATTTCACTGAAACCCATTAGCAGTCACAGAACATTGACCCATTAGTCATGTTTCAGTCCGACCAGAGCCACCGATTTATTTCAGGTGAATCTGGATACCCGACACCACGGTCTCAGGTTTTCCTGGGCCAGTCAGCACCTTTGAAAGTTAAGGGAAGGACAGGTGGACACAAGAGAAAAGCCAAACAGCTGACGGGAAGACCTTGCTGGGCTGGGGGTCCGGGACAGTCTGTCCTTAAGCAGGGAGACCCTCCCACCCCTGCAGCCTCAAGCCAGCCTCCTCCCAAGACCCCTCGTCTGTCTGCACCACCTGCCTGGGGCTTTCCTTCTTGTCTGAACACCTGTCTTAGCAAACAGTCTTATGTGTTTAGTTTGTGATTTATGAAATGTACCTTCCACATGTGCCATTATCACCACAATTCGATTTGCCCTTTCCCAGTGGCAGGCTGTGCCCAGAAAGCATTCACCAGCCCAGATCAACAAACATGTTTTGAGAATCTCTCAGGTGCCGGGGACCGTGCTGAAAGTAAGACCTTGACGAAGAGCAGAGTGCTGCCTGGGTGGGGAAGACAGTGAGGACACACGGACAGCCAGCTGTCCACCAGGGTGGGAGGTTCCCTGTAGGTCTGTTTTATTGCATTGATGACCTCCGTGGGAAGGCCTCCCTGGCCTCTCCAGCATGCTAAGAGAGTGAGATAGGGGTCTGGAAATGCAGCGTCTTCCGTAGAGACCCCCCCCCCTCGCACCCCCTCCGGGCACTCACATTTGTCAGCGGGGACCCCTGCCAGGTGGCCCCTCATCCCCTCCCAGCCTGGTCCCTGGCTCACCCTCCCCATCTCTGGGCTTGGTGCAGCCCCTCGACAGACCTCCTCTCCACTTCTCTGCAACCTCGAAGTCCTCCCATGGTGGTGCTCTGTGGAACTCAGTCCCCAGCAAGCACCCTCCCCCTCCACTGGGCACCAGGGGTGCTTCTCCTGCTTTTCCTCGTGCCTCTCCTTTGCTATTGCCAGGCCCCCCCTTTTCTGACCTTTCGTCATTGGGGTGCCCTTAGCGCGCGCCACCCCCCCTCCCCGCACCCACACCCTGTCATCCTGGCGGGTGCTCTTACTGAGACCTCTCCCCTGAACTCTGGGGTCCGTGTCCCCGTGGACAGCTGATGGACGTCCTGTTTGGAACACGTGCCTCCTCAAGCTCCCTATCCGCCATCAAAACCCGCTCCTCCCAGGCACTCCCTCCGGCAGCAAGCAGCCTCCATCCTCCGCTGCAGCCCCAAACCCAGGGTTGTCTCTGACCCTCATCCACACCCGTCCGTCCCGTCGGGGAAACTCTGCTAGCACTGCCTGAGATTCTCAGGCCCCTGGTTTCCTGTGTAGCCTATGGCAGGTACTTCCTGCCCGTCTTCCTGGCCCTCCAGGGTTTATGTATATATGTAGCCATAAACAATACAGAATATGGTTTTGTGTATCTTGAAAACATCACATAAATGTCATTATATCTGTCAGTACTCTGTATTTCATACTTATCTCTGTTGATGCATATAAATCAGGTTCATTCATTTAAAATGGATGCTCAGTATTCCAAAAGCAACTATATCTCAATTTACTATCCATCCCTCCCCTGAGTTGCGCATGAGTGGTTTCTGATTTCTCACCGTCACAAGTGGGAGTCGAGTGGACGTTCAGAGGCATCTCTGTGTCCCGGAGCTGGTGTCCTCTAGTGAGCGGAGCAGGAAGGGCATGCCGGCCCACACCTCGGCCTCGCCCTCAACCAAGATCACCCACCCTGCGGTTACATGGGTGTCCGTGCGCCCCAGCACTTGCGGGTGCCTGTCTTCTTACTACCTTGCCCAGGTTTCAGAGTTAGATGTTTGCCAGTCTGATGGAAGTGAAATGGTATCTTGTTTTAATTTGCATTTCCCCAGCTGTGAGTGGAGCTGAGCACCTTCTTCAGATGGTTATTTGGTTTCTTCTCCAGTGAATTATCTTTTTCTGTTTTTCTGCTGTTGTTTTTCATTATCTTACTGATTCAGGACCTGTTTATATAGTTTTGGATATGAACCCTTTATCTGTTATTTGCATTATGAATTATCGTCTCCCAGGCGTAGCAGGTCTTTTAACTTTGTAGTCCTTGGGTAGGAGTTTTAATTTTTGGCAGAGTCGTTAACGCCAGTCTTTGCCTTTACGATCTGTGCTTTTTCTGCCTTAAAATATCCTTTCCTGCCTCCCTCTAGTTTTGCTTTTCCCTTTAAAGTCTTTAATCCAACTAGAATTCATATTTGTGTAGATTGCAAGGGAGAATTTTTTAAGTTTCCCCACAAGACATCTGATTTTCCAGCACAGTTCACTGGATATTCCTCCTTTTCTCCATGTGTAATGTCTGTTATATCATGAACCAGATTTCCATATAGGCACACACCGTTTGTGTCTTCACTCATTTCTTCTGTCTCTATCTCTGTACCAGTTCTCACTGTTTCTAGTTTCATAATAAACCTTGAAATCTAGTAGACTACATGTTCCCTACTTGTTCTTCTAAACTTTTCTTGGCTATTCCTGAACCTTTGTTCTTCTATATGAATTTCAGAATCTTTATGTCAAGTTCTCAGAAATCCTCTTGGAATTTTGATTGGAATTGCATTTCCTTTATAATTTCACTCCTGGAGAACTCCTGTCATTGCAGTATGGAGCCCCCTTATCCATAGGAAGACTTGTTTATTGTCACCTTCTGCGTGTGCCTGCATAAGGCTTTAACACTTTTCTCCTGATCGTTGTTTCTATTGTGGATGAGATTTTTAAATTAATTACATGTTTTAAATAGTTGTTGCAGGTGTGCAGTTATGCCGTTGACTCTGTTTAGTGAAAGAAAACATTTTCTCAACCTCTCATTACGTCTAATGACTTGTCAATTTAGATTCTCAGGTTTTTTTACATAGACAGTTGTGCCATCCATGGATAGCACAAAAGTTACCTCTTCTTTTGAAATTTTCTTAATTTTATTTTTCTGGTTTTTCAGTGGGTATAGGACGTGGTTAAATATTAATAGCAGCCGTGATAGCTGGCATCCTTGTCTGTAGAGTTTCAGCATTTAGGGTGATTTTTTTGCCATAGGCTTTTTGTTTGTTTTTTAATTGGGGGATAATTGCTTTATAATATCGTATTGGTTTCTGCCATACATCAACATGAATCAGCCACGGGCATATATATGTCCCCTCCCTCCTGACCCCCTTCCGTCACCCTCCCCACCGCACCCCTCTAGGTTGTCACAGAGCACCGGGTTGAACTCCTGTGTCACACAGCGAACCCCCACTTGCTGTCTGTTTTACGTGGTAACGTATGTTTCCATGCTTCTCTCTCAACTTGTCCCTCCCTCTCCTTCCCCCACTGTGTCCACAGGTCTGATCTTATGTCTGCGTTTGCATTGCTGCCCTGCAAATAGGTTCATCAGTACCATCTTTCTAGATTCCATATGCATGCGTTAGTATACAGTATTTGTCTTTCTCTTTCTGACTCACTCTGTATAATAGGCTCTAGGTTCATCTACCTCATTAGGACTGACTCAACGTCGCTCATTACTAGAGAAATGCAAATCAGAACTACAATGAGGTATCACCTTGCACGAGTCAGAATGGCCATCATTAAAAAATCTGCCGTAGACTTTTCAAGATAGCTATTAAAGATGTTTCCTTCCACTTCTGGCTACGGTTTTTAATCCTGAACAAATTTTTCATATTATACCAAATGCTTCTTTTTTAAATATTGTTTTATTTCTTTCATACATTGTTACTGTGTATTATATAACATAAAAAACACATACAGAATAAATATACATAACAAAAAATACATAAGTTGAGAGAACAGTTAGTCAACATCCCCCATATTCCCAACCTCCAGCATAAGAAATACATCATAACCAGAATCTTCCAACCTTCCAGAACCCACTGTCCCTCCCAGACGCCACACCCCCCTTTACTCTTCACAGATAAACAGAAATGCAGACCTCTGAGATCAGTCCCTTCTTTTCTTTGCCTTTTTATTACCTGTGTATATATTCCTAAGTGACATTGTTTAGGAGAAGGCAATGGCAACCCACTCCAGTACTCTTGCCTGGAAAATCCCATGGATGGAGGAGCCTGGTGGGCTGCAGTCCATGGGGTCGCACGGAGTCGGACACGACTGAAGCGACTTAGCAGCAGCAGCAGCAACATTGTTTAACCTGTTTTTGAACTTTCTATGAATGAGATCATACTATGTGTATATATATGTGTGTGTGTATATATATATATATTCTTCTTTAACTTGCTTTTTTCATTTGACTTTTATGTTTTTGAGAGTCATCCACGTTGATGTAGTATAGCTGTAGTTCATTCCTTTTCATGATTTCCACCACTTTATGGTTTGTATTTTTGAATATAGCACACAATGCGTCTTTTCCTTCTGCTGTTGATGGGTGTTTGTGCTGTTTCTAACTTTCTTGCTTTCAGGAACAATGCTGTGGTGGAAAGTCTTACGCATGTGTAAGAGTTTCTCAAGGTAGAGACTGGGCCGCAGAACTGCTGGGTTGTAGGAAAGTGCACGCTCGGCTCTTCCGGTAACGTCTCATTGTGCTCTGAAGCAGTAGTGCACCCCGTCCTCAGCCCTAGAAATGCCGTCCATTTTAATTTCTGCCCATCTGATGG